TGCTGCCGGCACAGACTCTGTGGCCTGCCTTCTCCCTTTCATCTCCTCTCCTTTCTTCCTCTCCCCTCTTTGCTTCTCTCTTGCTCCCAGTGCTTCTCATCTGCTAGAGTTGTCCTGGGGGCATATGGTGGCCTTTATAAAAGCCGCCTGATCGTAAGTCTAAGAACTTTGTCATTGAGAGCCTCAAGTGGTCCACCCTTCTTCAAATTTGAGTCCATCATGGGGTTTAGAGATTAGAATTAAAATATTCGGAGTCTTGCTGGCACCACCTCCCAGTGATTCCTGGTGTCTCAGTCCTTATGGGGGAGGTGCCCGGTGGATTGGATGCTGTCTTTTACTCAGGTGTGTGGCCTAGCGGAGCAAGATTTAGACTCATTCATGGCTCCCCTTGGCAACTCCTTTGTCACATGGGCTGGTGGCTTCACTTCTGTGGGCCACCAGCTGTGCAGTGGTATTTGATTTGATCATTTCTTCATCCCCTCCCGGCTCTGGCATCTTGTGATAGAAGCTACTATGCACCAGCGTCACATGGCTCTGTCCCCTCTCCTTATCCCTTTGCCCCCAGCTATCTTTCTCTGTGATGTGACTCATGCTTGCGAACAGTATGTGGAAACTGGAGAGAAGGGAGGCAGGCAAGCTTCAGACCCTTTGTCCTGGCCAGGCCCCTTCCTTCAATGGCTCCCCAGAGTTTTCAGGTTCAAGTTCAAACTCATTAACTCCGTACACCAGGCCTTGGTTCTTAGAGCATGGTCTCTGAAACTTGCTAACCATGAAGATTCTGATGAAAAAGGTTTTGGGTGTGTCCTAGGAATTGGCACTTATAATGAGCACTCCAGGGGATGTTTAAAAATGTATTGGTGATTATGGGGAGTTAGTTCATACAATACAAGCAAAAAAATCCAAACAGTAGGAAAAAAGGCCTATGCTGAAACTGTCCCCCTGCCACCATCCAGTCTCTCCTTGAAAGCCACCACTGCTATTGGTTCTGGGGATAGTGCATTGTAAACACACACACACATATGTAAGCACGTACTTGAATTCAGGGACAACCCAGGGGATTCTGCAAGTCCAATAAATCCAGAAAACGGCTACACCAGGCCGTCTGGGATGTGCCCCGTCACCTCTCTGACCTCCACCCATGCTGCCCACCTGAACCCCTGCCTTGCTGACCTGCCACAGCTCAGCCACTGAGGATGCTGCTGCTGTCTATGTGCCTTACCTCATGCGGTTCTCTTTGCCCAGAAAGCCCTTCCTGCTTTGCTATCCAGTCAATGTCTGCTTATCCTTCAAGGCTCAGCTCAAGTGCTTCCTCCTCCAGGGAGCCTTCCAGCCTTACCCTGAGCCCCACATTCTGGGTTCTCTGCAAATTCACCTCCTGTTACTAAACTAATTGTGTTGAGTGACTTTCCTTTTTCTGTTCCCCCGCTGGATGACGAGCTCACTGTGGGCCAGGCCCATTTTTATACTCTGCTGAGTTGCTGAGCCCCTGTATGGTGTGCATACTACATTCACTCAATAAATGGTGTTTAATAAGTGCTCGGATAGCAGGCTTTTGTCTCATTCTTGCCTTTTGCAGTTTGGAAATCAAAACCACAGTGCTCAGCCGCCTCGCCCAGGCTCTGCCGCCTCGTGGTGCTGCAGAAAGGGCGGGTGGAGATGGAGGCTAGGACCCTGAGCAGAAAGCTGGCAGGAGGTGGCCCGCTGCTCCCAAGCACACATGGCTGAGGGGACTCAGAGGAGGCTCATACCACCGGATGGGGAGCCCTAGCTCCAAGTCTCCCTCTGGGGGGCTGCCGGCAGTGGCCAGAGGGCAGAGTGGGGCTTGGCGGAGCCCTCCTGGCAGAAGCAACGGGACAGGCCTGCCTCCTCTCCACTGTGCAGAGGGAGCAGGTGGCCTGGCTGTAGGGAGGGGGTGGGGAGACCCAGCAGAGGGAGGGGCTTGGGAGAGGAAACAGAAAGAGCAAAGGGGGGGGGAGGGTGGGGGGTGGGTGGAGTATGCGGCTGGCCAGGCGGTTGTTTAACGAGTATAATGTGCTGGGAACGCTAATGAGCTGTGTTCATTCATGGCGAGCTGCCTCCCAAATTGGGGAGCTAGCCAGACTCTGGGGTGGAGGAACTGGGGATGGGAGCCAAGTTGGGGAGCTGCCCGGCTGCTGGGCAGGGCGTCCCCTGACTGGGTGGGGGGTGGGTGGAGTATGCGGCTGGCCAGGCGGTTGTTTAACGAGTATAATGTGCTGGGAACGCTAATGAGCTGTGTTCATTCATGGCGAGCTGCCTCCCAAATTGGGGAGCTAGCCAGACTCTGGGGTGGAGGAACTGGGGATGGGAGCCAAGTTGGGGAGCTGCCCGGCTGCTGGGCAGGGCGTCCCCTGACTGGCTGGAGGGGGAGTCTTTGTCTGAGGTTTAAGAAACCCTCCTTCCTTCCCCATTTTAAAGCAAAGGCCAGGCCTTGCTAGGCCATGACATCGTGGTTTAAGGCTGGCTTGGGAGTCACTGGCCAGGTTAGTCTGGAAGCTTCCAGGGCACCTTCTCGAGATTGCTTCTAGTCTGCCAGGAGCCAAAGGCAGGGCTGATCATGCAGCCCTCTGCCCACTCCCAGCCTCCCTCCCACCCCGTCACCCTGCCTCTCTGCCGCCTTCCCAGGGCATCCTGCCAGGTTAATCAACACTTTCCCTCTTCCCCACGAGTCCTGGCTTCAAGGAGCCTTCTGAGGTCATGGGGCCAAGGCGGCACCCACCGCTGGAGCAGAAGGTTGGAGACCAGATGTCTTCACCAGTCTGTGTTCCGTCTGTGACAGGCCTACTAAGTCCAGGCATTGGGTTAAGTCCCAAAGTGAGGAAGTGAGGAAGCCATGTGTTGGGGTCAGGTATGGCCCCCAGAAGGGGTGTCAGGGTAGGAGCCACATGTGTAAACAGAGCCCCGCTAAGAGGGAATAAACAAAGCAGCAGGCTCAAAGGAATGAGGATTTAACCTGCCCTAGGCAGCTGGGGAGGCTCTGGGAAGAGGGGCTGAGTGCTCTGAGCCGGCATTTGCAAGGGAGAGGGGAGAGGAGGCCGTAGCAGGCCGTGGAGCTCTGGCCTGATTTGCGGGAAGGTTCTCTAAGATCACACTACAGGAAGGCCCCCGAGAAAGTCCCTTCACCCTGAGTTGTCATTGAATTGATGCTCAAGGACCTATGGCCCTGGATGGAGGTCATGGTCAGGAGTGTGTGAAAACTTTCAAAAGAACTGTCAAGAGCCCATCAAGTCAGCCACATTCGTTGTGACATACTGGCCACCCAGTGTGCGCTGCGACAACAGAGATACTGCAAACTTTTCACAAAGATGGAAAAGAAAAACAAAGAGAAACCTTGAGTCTGTACCTGGAGGGTGATGAGGCTTTAATTTTGTGGAGCCCACCAGTACCAGCCCGTCCACCTCAGGAGGCCCTGCTTACCTGGCACCGCCTGGATTAACCACCTTCCTTTCTGGTTTCTCCCAAGAAGAAACCTCGGGCAGCCCGCTCCCGTGAGGGGAGGTGCTTCTTGAGCTGCTCATCTGCTCCTTCTTGCCAGGCTGCCGGCCGCCGGGAATCATGGTGCTGGCTGGTGGACAAGCGATGTCTGGGTGCGATGGAGTATCAGCACACCACAGCTGCCCTCGACTCCGGGGAGGTCCTTTTCTTTTCTGGCCTGAGGAGAATTCTCTCCCCACCTGGATGTTCGGGTCACACCCATGTTCACACCTGCCTGAGTCTGAGAAAAGTCCCTGCCCAGAGGACTGGAAGGCCTAAGGTCTGACCTGGGTGGCCTGTGGTGATTGTCACCCAAGCAGGTCACCCAGCTCCTTTCCAGCCCTCCCTGCAGTCCTTTGAAGACGGGATTGAATATTCGTTTTTGTTTATTGGAAATAGAGGAACGCTGGTGTGATGGAGGAAGATAGATGCTATGCTCAATTTCCAATCCCCACTGGTACCCTGCGCTGCTCCCTACCACCTGGGAAGCCACCACAGTCCAATGGGCAGAAATACCGTCCCCATGCGGTTCGATGTCCAAATCAAGGCCATTCTCACTCTGGGTGCAGCTGGCTGCTGCTCCCCTCGGAAAGTGGGCTGCTGCCATCTTGGAGGAGACTGTGAATGTATTGGCCTAGGCGCCCCCCCACCCCCCGGACTCTGCCCTCAGGGTCTTGCGCTAAGTAAGGCGGGTGCTTGGATATGGCCACCTGGGGCACAGGGCTTCCTCTCGCGGTGAATTGAGGAAGCGAGTTCCAGGGGCTGGGAGCAGTTTCTGCCGTTGAGGAAAGCCTGTCTGTGGCGCAGGGGAAAGGGTCCAGGCGGCAAAATAAAATCCTCTCCCCGCTCTGGATCAGCAGCGGGGGCCTCGGGTGCCGGATGCTCGCGTCTAAGGGTGCTCATCCTCTCTGCGTGTGTGTGTGTGTGTGTGTGTGTGTGTGTGTGTGTGTGTGCGCGCGCGCGTGCAGCCGGCGAGGGTCAGACGGTGGGTCGCACCGTGAGACACCTCCTCCCCCGCAGCCCCCTGCCCGCTCGCTCCCAGCGCCTTGTAGGTTCCACCTTTGAAACCGGACGCTGCTGGCAGCAGGCGCGGAGCGGTCTTTAGGAGGCCGGGGCGGGGAGGGGTGTGT